TTTTGCCCACCCCCTAGGGTATAAATAATGAACGGTCCCTTAGGCTACAATATAAAACGTTTGTTATAACCGCGCTCGAGTGTGAAGAGAGCATGCATTGAATAACAACACGAGAGAGCACTACGAGTAACGATTTGCTTGGTTTCTTGACTTCACTGTAAGTAAGAATGTAAGAATGTTCTTGTAAATTCAAAGCAAAGAAACTACAAAAAAATTTGCAAGTATTTTGAACGTAATAATTCGCAAAATGTATGTGTTTTAACGAATATCCCACTGGAAACATGTTGATGTAATTTGATACTATACCCACTCCCCCCTCCGTCGCTAAATTTTTGATGAGGCACGTGACCAGCCGCAGCCAGGATCTTTCCCAAAGAAAGATCCTGGGTACGAGGTTGCCTTTGTACTAGCTGTGATCGTAAAACGTTTACCCCTGTGGGTGCCAGTTATACCCCATTAATACTATCGCTGTCTTAATTAGTTGGATAAACAACACTCTGCACCTTCACGTGAACTAACCTGCAACTCTTGTACTTGTCTAGATAGTCTCAGTACTTGTTCATCCCGAATGAAAACCTGTTCACGAAGGAAGGCATTATCCAAAGTCACTTCACTTACAGTCGCCAGCAGTTCTCGTGTATCATTTTCCTGAATTGAAAGAAGCATGATGATATTAAACAATTATTGAATGAGGTCGAGTAGGATATGAGGAATTATTAAGGCAGAGGTTTGTGTTATCTACCGAAGCCGGATTCAGATAACACAAACCGAGGCCTTAATAATTCCTCATATCCTACGAGAACCGATTTATTTATTTGTATATATATATATTTGTATATACTGTAGCTCAGTAGGTAGAGCGTCGATCTAGTAACTCGAAGGTCGCGGGTTCGAGACCCAGCCGCGGCAGACAACATATTTCTGCTTGCGCTGGGTATGGAAATTATATAATACACACTCTAGAACATTTTCATCTTAACATATTACAGAGTGTACAATTACACAACTAACATAACACTTGCAGAACTAGTATTGTTCGATGCTGAATTAATATAAACGAGTATGTTTATGACATTCAGTATATATTTCATAATTTCCAGTCTTAAATCCGTCTGACCGTGTAGCTCAGTAGGTAGAGCGTCGATCTAGTAATTCGAAGGTTGCGGGTTCGAGACCCAGCCGCGGCAGACAACATCTTTCTGCTTGCGCTGGGTATGGAAATTATATAATACACACTCTAGAACATTTTCATCTTAATATATATATATATATATATATATATATATATATATATATATATATATATATATATATATATATATTTATTATATACACAAGGTCTGGATATGAGGTATTCTGCAATCTGATTGGTTCTCTACTAGCAGGATATTAGCTCATATCCTACTAGTAGAGAAAAACAAAATGGCGGCTAAAATTGAATTTCCAATGTTTTGCGAACGAGAAAACGGCAAGTTGTTCGCTTTTTATAGCCCTTTCAGGATTAAAAACACAATGAAAAAACTCCCACAAATTGTTTACAGGTTAGCAAATGAATTTTTAAAATTTAAAATGGTTAAAAAATATATTTTTGAAAAAATAATCGGCCGAAAGAGCGAAGATACAAACATAAACAAAACAGATAAATATTGAAAATACCCGAAAAGCAAAGTCTGTGAATTCAGGCCTTGTGTATATAATAAAACAGTTATTCCACTCACTCTCGTCGAATATGAGCAATAGCCGATTCGGCGCTACGCGCCTCATCGGCTATCAGCTCATATTCGACTCGAGTTCGTAGAATAACTGTTAAATATATATATATATATATATATATATATATATATATATATATATATATATATATATATATATATATATATATATATATATATATATATATATATATATATATATATATATTTATAATACAGTCATTCACTGTATATGAGCTGTTCCGCAATCTGATTGGTTGAATTATTCGCCGTATATCAGCTCATATACGGCGAGTACCGAAAAACAAGATGGCGGTCCAAAAACTACATGAGTTTTGCGAAGCAGAAAAAAGAAAAATATTCGCTTTGAGAAAGATAATAGTACAAGAAAAACCCTCTAAAAAATTTGACAGGTTATCAAAATACATTTATTACATAGAAATTAGTTTAAATAAACGTTTTTTAAAGAATACCGAAACAACAGCGAAAAAAACATGTTCATTGGAAATATAAATTGTTCAGAAAAGTTTGCAACGAAAGACAAATGAATTTGCAGTCAACAAGCACCTACTATACTACCAAACATCTGTATAATATACCTGAGCATTTCTGTGAGATATACCGGTTCTAAAACCATTAATCTTTCACTTTGTCTTCGAGTTTTAAAATAAAAGCATTTCAAATTTTCAAGGCCAAGCGGTTTTTGGCCGAACAAATTGTCAAGACATTGTAACAGAGGATAATTATTGCTTCAGTTAATGGCTATTAGACTATATTATAAAACAATTATACCATTCGCTCTCGTCGTATATGGCTGATCGCCGACTCGGTGCTACGCACCTCGTCGGCTATCAGCTCATGTACGACTCGAGCTCATGGTATAATTGTTAAATATACACTATAACCAGAGTAACGTACCAGTTGATGATGTGAGAGATGCGATACAAAAGGAATTTGAAGGTCCTGGCAAGCTATTAGGCTATCGTGCAATGCACAAAAAAATAAGACAGAAGGTTTAAAGGCCCGTGGCCCAGTTGGCATTAATAAACAGCGAAAGACAGGTAATTTTACTTCAAAAGGTCCAAATTTGGTTCACTCAATGGACGGCCACGACAAGCTTATGGGCTATCAAAACTTCACAGGTTACCTCATTCGATGAAGTAATTTTAAAGTCACGCGGAAGTTCGCGAAAACTCCTGGTGGCCTACATGACAGGGGTGTGTCAATATTTTCACGAAATGTTTGTTCGCCACCACAGCAACCTAACTAAATACACTATATTTATTGTATTTTTATGATTGATGATAAAAACAATAAATATTTGCGAATTTTTATCATCAATCATAAAAATACCATAAAATAATATAGTGTATTTAGTTAGGTTGCTGTGGTGGCGAACAAACGTTTCGTGAAAATATTAACCCCTCTCTGTCATGTAGCCCACGACGAGTTTTTGCGAACTCGCGCGTGGCTTTTAAATTATTTCTTTTGGATTGTTACTGAACAACTGTTATGGGAGGTTTTATCCTTTTAAATGCAACTAATGTTTCCAATTTTTCGATTGGGACTATTCTACACAGAAGTACTCTTGGATACTGTAACCTAAATACATAGGAAGGCAAAGAAGTGGCATTTATCGGCCAGAGAAATTGCGAGCCATTGCAATGGCGCCATATTTCACAAAACATATATCGAAGGGCACAATTTCGAAGATAAAACACACTGCACTGTTTCCAAACTTGATGAAAACTTCTTTGCAATCTTATTCCGCAATTTATGAGTATGTAAAATGTACAACAACTGGATGATACTTGCCTGATTCGGCGATAAAAAGCAAACACGACTGAAACGATTGGCTGAAATCGTGTTTTCGTAAGGGGTAAGTGAAATGAAATGTATTAAATTTAAGGAAAACAATTAATGACAATCCTTACGAAATCAACAATAATTATACTAAATTAAGCATAGTTTTTCACCCATGATAATTTTTTTAGGAAATAAGAAAATTTGATTTCTACCAATATTTTTTAAGAAATAATTTTCTCATTTTAAGAGAACAGTTATCTTAAATCAAGAAGTAATTTTTCTTGAGAAATAATTTTCTCATTTTAGGAAAACAGTTTTCTTAAATTAAGAATAATTTTTTTCTTAAGAAATGATTTTCTCATTTTGAGAAAACATTTTCTTAATTTAAGAAAAGAAGTTTTCTTAAGAAATAAGTTTCTCATTTTAAGAAAATATTTTCTTAAATTAAGAAAATAATTTTTCTTAAGAAATTGATTTTTTGCTGTGTATTAGTTATTTTATGCATAATTCGCAATTTACCTGGGGTGGTGCATGGTCATTTCTTGTAAAATTACTTAGACAAACTTTTCCTTCCAATGACCACCCTAAAAGTATCCAATGACCACCCATAAAAGGCTATCGCTTTTCCTTTTCGGAAGTTAGAACTATGTCGACACTGCCGTTTTATGGCGGGGCCATTTTCAAGACTTTCGCCCCGGATTCAGGTTTTGAATATCTTCTTTCCAACTCCCGCGGTCCGCCATATTTGTGAATGGGGCGCGTTTTCTTTAGATGGCCTGAAAATTAGTTAGCAGCGATAGGGCAAGTAGCAATTTTTGGTCACAGCAGTTGTTTTTTAATTTAATTTATTTTTTAGAAACAAAAAAATAAATTGAAGAAGAAACAAAATTTACAAAGTATTTGGGAAACTTCAACTGGCAGCTCGCGGCCACCATACTAAACTGTTACCATACCATACAAAAAAAATTGATTATGAATATTCATTTCATATTTTGATCTGTTGGACAACTATCTAACGTAGTAGATGGCGGACTTCCTGATCTATCCAAGGCGGAGTGTTAATACCTTTAATAAATTTGGTAGGAAAATGTTCACGCACTGCAGTTATAAATAATGTTTTCCAGCAAGATCAACGATCATCAACGTTATCAAAGGAGTAAATATTTTCATACGGGATGCGGGAGAAGGCGCGGCGCAAGCTTTCGAAATCTGCCTGGTAATAATTGAAGACTTGGCCTTTAACAGGCTTAGTGCGTTAAAATTTAAGTCTGATTATAAAATCTATGGTATAATGATCTGATGGAAAACCGCATTCGTCAGCTGGTGTTGTGGTTACTTTCTCAATAGTCTCAGGACAATTACATAGCAGTAAATCTAGTTTACTGAATTATTATTTTACTTTTTATCTGATGATTATTTAATCTTTATTATTGCATGTTGCATTACCATCACAGGGGGAAACAGGTGAACATTCGTCTACTTCTATAGATAGAGTGCAGATGGAAAACCAAGATGTAAATTCCTGAAACAATTATTTCTAATAGATTACGCAATCATACAACACTAATAAATTACATCGCGTACCATCACACGAAAATCCATCACCACTGTATCCAGAATCACATGTACAAGTGTAAGATCCTTCTGTATTATTGCACGTTGCGTTACCATCACAGGGGGAAACAGGTGAACATTCGTCTACTTCTATAAATAGAGTGCAGATGAAAAACAAAGGTGTAAATTCCTGTAACAACTATTGCTAAATGAATACGTAGTCATACAATATTTAACAAATTATATCGCGTACCGCCACAGGAAAATCCATCACCACTATATCCAGAATCACATGTACAGATGTAAGATCCTTCTGTGTTATTACATGTTGCATTCACATCACATGGCGATTCGGGTAGGCAATCATTAACATCTGGAAATGATAAAATAGGAACAGACCTTTTTTTAAAATTGTTTCCATATAAATTTCCTACAATACTTCCCACTAACATACTGTACGACGCGGCACACTAGTTCTTTTTATGCGTCATGAAAGTATACCATTACAACTGACGCCGTCACCACTGAACCTAGAATCACACGTGCAAATATAAGATCCTTGCACGTTATTACATTTTGCATTAGCATGACAATGTGATTCTCATTCACGCATAACAGAAATTTAAATGAAATGAATTGAATTATCTATTTCTGGTTTCTAGCTATCCTGACAGTTATCATAACTACTATTTCAATTCTTTTCGAACCATCACATGAAAATCTATTGTATGCACTTTTGAATTATTGATATCTGGTTTCTAGTTATTATGATTACTATAATAATTACTATTCTAATTCCGTTCTTACCATCACACAAAATCCCATCACCACTGTATCCGTCATTACAAGTACATATATAAGATCCTTCTGTGTTGTTACATGTTGCACTGGTGTTACATGGTGATTCTGTTTCACATTCATTCACATCTAAAACAAATGTTGTATATATGAAGTTTTGAATTATTGATATCTGGTTTCTAGGTATTAAGATTGCTATAATAATTACCATCTGATTCCGTTCTTACCATCACACAAAATGCCATCACCACTGTATCCGTCATGACAAGTACATATATAAGATCCTTCTGTGTTGTTACATGTTGCACTGGTGTTACATGGTGATTCTGTTTCACATTCATTCACATCTAAAACAAATTTTGTATATATGAAGTTTTGAATTATTGATATCTGGTTTCTAGGTATTATGATTACTATAATAATTACTATTCTAATTCCGTTCTTACCATCACACAAAATTCCATCACCACTGTATCCGTCATCACAAGTACATGTATAAGATCCTTCTGTGTTGTTGCATGTTGCACTGGTGTTACATGGTGATTCTGTTTCACATTCATTCACATCTAAAACAAATTTTGTATATATGAAGTTTTGAATTATTGATATCTGGTTTCTAGGTATTAAGACTGCTGTAATAATTACTATTCTAATTCCGTTCTTACCATCACACAAAATTCCATCACCACTGTATCCGTCATTACAAGTACATATATAAGATCCTTCTGTGTTGTTACATGTTGCACTGGTGTTACATGGTGATTCTGTTTCACATTCATTCACATCTAAAACAAATTGTGTATATATGAAGTTTTGAATTATTGATATCTGGTTTCTAGGTATTAAGATTGCTATAATAATTACTATCCTAATTCCGTTCTTACCATCACACAAAATTCCATCACCACTGTATCCGTCATCACAAGTACATGTATAAGATCCTTCTGTGTTGTTGCATGTTGCACTGGTGTTACATGGTGATTCTGTTTCACATTCATTCACATCTAAAACAAATTGTGTATATATGAAGTTTTGAATTATTGATATCTGGTTTCTAGGTATTAAGACTGCTGTAATAATTACTATTCTAATTCCGTTCTTACCATCACACAAAATTCCATCACCACTGTATCCGTCATTACAAGTACATATATAAGATCCTTCTGTGTTGTTACATGTTGCACTGGTGTTACATGGTGATTCTGTTTCACATTCATTCACATCTAAAACAAATTTTGTATATATGAAGTTTTCAATTATTGATATCTGGTTTCTAGGTATTAAGATTGCTATAATAATTACTATCCTAATTCCGTTCTTACCATCACACAAAATTCCATCACCACTGTATCCGTCATTACAAGTACATATATAAGTTCCTTCTGTGTTGTTACATGTTGCACTGGTGTTACATGGTGATTCTGTTTCACATTCATTCACATCTAAAACAAATGTTGTATATATGAAGTTTTGAATTATTGATATCTGGTTTCTAGGTATTAAGATTGCTATCACAGAATAAGGACCTATACAGAAGTCCCACTCTCGTGTGCGACATGGCACCTGTTTTCCACTGCGCATGCGTTAAGTCCGCCATCTTCCTAGCAAGTAAAACCGCAGCAAGCTAATAGTAAATTGTATGGCGAAACACCGAGTCGATGCAAGAAAACTTCAATATTCGAAAACGCTCAAATTTCATCGAATCGCCATAAAAATTATAGGGGATGAAAGAACACACATTTCTAAATGATAATAAGGTGTAATGGATGAAATTCCGCGCATTTATACCGGATAAAACGGGCCTGAGTGTCGAACAATAATCGATTCAATTATGAATTTCAAGCGTTTTCGAATCAAGTAAGTTTTATAACTGTCTTTGACAATTTTATGCATGGGAATGTTCAATTAATGTTTGAACCATTACACTAGATCTAACTGCTTAGTATTTAGTCACAAGAAAAGTCTTTCTAAGTTAATTTCTCTGCAATTTGCAACGACATGTTTAATATATTAAATATATCACTGATGGCACTGAAGACAATGCCTGTTCTAGAACTTTATTAAGGGACGGACCATTTGATTTTTCATGGAGGGGGGGGGGCGCATTTTTGAGAGTGCTCGATTTTTTTTTGGACTTCACCGACTCCGCACGATTTTTTTTTATCGAATCTGGCCGCGTGCACGATATTTTTTTAAATTTTTACTATAGCGTTAGTACAATAATAACCACGTATGGTTATATTCCGGTTGAGAATGTATTTGAATATACAGCATATAACCACAAAATAGGAAAGTATAGCAGAAGTGTAACCCACGAAAATTTTAACTCGCTCACGCCATCCGGGCTAGTACTGCCGGAAATTTTTATCAGGTTTTGATAGGTACAAAGTGCCGGTTGTACTAGCCAGGATGGCGTGATTGATAATCGGACGAATCGCTTGTAAAAACTCGGACAAATACTTGCTTGAGTGAGACTTCTGGTATACCTTCCTATTCTATGATATAACTATCACAGCCCATTTTATACTTGGCCAATTTTATACTTGGCCCATTTTATACGGGGCTATGGTCTACGAAATGTAGACCATAGTCCCAATCAAACTTGGATCAAGTGTATTAAAGTGTGTAACCCATTTTGCATTGGCGTAATGGCATCTATATACAAATTCTCACGGTTCCCAATCGTATCAGTGTTCCCAATACGTATATTATAAACTGCGATTTTTATTCAGAATCAGAGAGCGATATTAATGAGCCGGATGGGAAAGGGTATTTTTGTGACCCGTGAATGCAGTGGCGTAGCCAGACTATAATTTTTGAAAGGGCATATATCGAACGCCGAAGGCGTAAGCCTTTTTAGGGGGGGTTTAGGGGGGGGTTTGAAATCTGGAGTCCCTCAATGGCGATTTCCCGTGTTTCTGGGGAGAGATTTTGCATAATTCTGAAGATTATTTACTGCAGGAAAGACCTGATTTTTAATGATTTCTCAATAATGTGGATCCTTAATTTGACTCAACGAAGCTTACTTGGTCGCGTGTGAATAGTTAAATCGAAGTTTTAAAACGCATTTTAACCAATAACCACCATAGGCATTATTTTCTGTAGTTAGATTTAGGAAAGATTAGAACTTTTATAGACAATTTGGTGAACAGATGAGATTGGTAGTCACATGGGTAGTCATCGTCCCCCCCTCTAATTTCTACCCGGATTTCATATTTTTACAAGGGCAGTCCATCAGCCTATTGGGGGGGGGGGCTGAGCCCCCCCCCTTGTCTACGCCACTGCGTGAATGGTCAATATTTGATCGTGTGAAATACTTGATTTTACTGTCATGATCTGTGATTTGTTCTACAGCCGTGAGGCGTGATTGTGGATCAAAAAATGCTCCGTGAAATGGGAATTAAGGATGTCTGTTTCGTGAACTGTGATTTTGATTTGTTTATTCCGATCTATTTTATAATAGTGATAATGGACATAATACGCGATAATACGCGATAATAATTTATATTATACCTAAATTACGACAAACAGGTCTCGCTTCTTGTCTCGTCGTGTATGAACAAATTATGTCAGATAAATCGTGCAAAAAATAGTTTCGACACAAAAACTTTATCGGAAGTCATCTCATCCTTAGTCATGAGAAAAATGGTTTATTGTTCTTCGGTGTGGTCGACTACGTCTGCCTCCAACGTGAAGAAAGTTCAGTCGATCCAGAACTTTGCTTGCAAAATCGTCACGAAATCCAGGAAGTTTGACCACGTAACTCCACTTCTACGGGAATTGAATTGGCTCCCAGTAGACAAACTACTATATTTAGAGACGCCAGTTTGACCTATAAATGTGTGAATAACCTAGCACCCGACTACCTTTGTAACAAAATGATAAAAAGGTCATCAATCCACGACCGTAGGACTCGTACACACGACTCTCTTCAAATACCTCTATTTAAGACTGCAGCTGGCCAACGATCATTTACATATAGAGCCGCCCATATTTGGAACAATTTAGACAAGAACTTGAAAGACTGCTCTTCACTTAAAACTTTTAAAGTAGCACTTAAAAAACATTTGCTTCCAAAAGATAACATTTAGTATAACCAACTAAACTTTGTATATAGTCTTTGATAATTGTTTAAACTTATATTTGTAACCTTAATTATTACTGCATGCATGTAACTGTAAATAATTTCTGAAAAACCCTTTTAGGGAGAAATTTATTAAATATCTATCTATCTATCTATATGATCGATCTCACTCGATTGCACAAGAGTAGAAATTTCGGAGGCCTTTCGGAGATCGTCGGACGTACTCATCACTCAAACTTGTAAGTCGAGTTTTTAACTGCCAGGCAGAGAAAAGAACTTAAAGCGTAGTACTGTACCATGCATTAAACATACTCTTAAAGCTATTATTATTATATTATTTTAATTAGAGTCTCGTTATCCGTGAAGTGTGAAATTGCTTTTTTATGGCACGTGAATTGTGAAACGGTATTTTTTTGTTGTGAAACGTGAATCATACCCCCCCCCCCCCCCCATTAATCGATGTCGAATTTACAGAAGTGTGGACTTTCTAGGCAAGCAGATTGGGGTTTCTTAGGGATACCATTACGTAATTTTAGATGTACTGAATTATTAAAGCCAAAGTTGTCAGAACTGGTTTGTATCGGTTTGTATTTTGCATGTATACTTCCTGGTATTGTGCTAACTGGGCTAAGCAGAACTGAAACACTCAACAGAAACCATGGAAACCGAATTTTTTCTTCAATATAGAGTGTTAATTCTAGGAATTTGTTTCAGTTTCGATATTTTTTTTTCGGTGTTAGTGATGTTCGATTTTTTTTTTTTCCATTCGAGAGCATGCTCTCGATATTTTTTCGGATTTGCGCCCCCACTGAAAAATCAAATGGTCTGTCCCTAAGTAAACTCTATTCTTGTATTTAAAATTGCAGCAGGCAACCAAACGCTATTGTCGATGTTTTTAATATTGTACTTGAAATTTATCTATTTGTGTCTTGTATATAGCTGATGGAACCCAATGAGGCAATGACCAGTATGAGGAATGGACTGATTTCAGGGAAAGAAGAGATTATTTCATTGGGCTGATTGGCACCCAAAATAAATTTTTACAATATTGAGTCAGTTGGGTTCATGGATTGTTTGACATTCATAAAACATGGCGTATTTGTGTGCAACACTTCAGGCTTGGTAGCCAAATTGGTTGAAGGATAGCCTAAAGAGTAAAGACATTTCAGTTAATGGTATGGTGCACATATCTAAAGATGTTGTCCGCAAACCCATAATTCCCACAAGAATGACCAGATCATCTGGTACCAACATTTTATCCTTCCACCCACAGAAAGCAGGACTTTGTCTAGCACATTTCAGAGCTTGTATTTCTCATGTGTAACAAACTGTCTTCCAGCAGACTTAAGGGAACCTAACACATTCTTTAAAAGTACAAATACATTTAAGAGATTGTTAGGAGACTATTACTTGAAAGCCCTACATTGATGCAGAGGATGCAAGAACATGGAAATCTGTGTTTAAACTATAAAGGTTGTCGACGTTTGAACTATGTTATTAACTGCTGTTTCTAGATGTTTGTCGTTAAAAGGCCCACAGTGATTGATTTTAACTGTTGTGGTGCTTTCACAGCAATTGTCATTAGTATACAGTAGTATTATATATTTATAATGTAATGTATGTATTGTATCCATGTTATTAGTAATATTCAGGGTCGATTTACTGGGGGGTGTCGGGGGGTGCACCTCTAGCCCTGGCCAGAGGGGGTGCACCCCCCCCCCTAGCCCTGGCCAGAGGGGGTGCAGGAGGTTCTGCTATGTTTCATGATAAAGCAAAAAATTATTAGAGACAAAATGAGATACAGTAATTTCAGTAATAACATGATGATAAGCGAACTGTGAACAATTACAATTCAAATACAGTAGTCAAGCAAGACTTTGCAGTAGCAAAGCAAGTTGATGGGCGGGCAGCACACATCACCGACACAACTCGGCACCAGAGCTGGCAGAGCACCCCCCCACCAGATCATGCTGGATCCACCCCTGGTAATATTAATATTATTATATATGGTGAAGGTTGAATAAATATAAATTTTATGACCA